TTCATTACCATCCTGACAGTGCTTGCTTTTTTTTTTTCCCCCCCCCAGTGCTGAGGATCAAACCCAGGGCCTGGAGTACACTAGAGCTCTACCACTGAGCTGTATCCCTAGCCCTCTTGTCAGTTCTTAAATTCTTTATGAAGAAGATTAGACTATAAATAGAGAAAAAGACAATGTGATTATGATGGCAAAGATGAAGTGATGTCACTACAAACCAAGGAAAGTCAGCATCATCAGAAGCTGGAGAAAGCAGGAAATGGATTCTTCCCTGGAGCCCTGATCTTGATTCAGATTTGGACTTCTAACCTTCGAAACCGTGAGAGGACAAAGTCAGTCAGTCTTTCTCTCTCTCTTTCTCTCCCATCATCATCATCATCATCAAGTTTGCAGCAATTTATTACAGAAGCTGAAGGGTTATGGAAAATACTATTCCTACAAAACAGTACCCAAAGAAAAGCGGAGAGAGGATGCAGCTCAGGAGGAGGGAGGAGAAACCAGCCAAGCATTAACCTCCTAGTAAAGTCTTTCCCAATAACAATGGTCCCTGAAGGAAAAAGGTGGATACTGAATGCTGGGCTCTGGACTTTGACTTTCCTCCATTGTAAATTAGTCATAAAAAAGGACAGTAAATATGGAGACTCTGGGAGAAAAAGAATCCCAGAAAAAGAAAAGCAATGGGCAAAATTTAAGTACTCATCCCTCAGGATCTAGGCTCCCATCTCTCCAAGAAACAATGAGTTTCAACCTTTTTACAACTGCCCTTCTGAGTTAAAGTTTTAACCTATACAACTAGTCCCTGACCATCTGAATGGCAGGTCCACAGTTTCCAATGATTAAATCACCCTCATCACACCCTATCAAACTAAAATCACCTCTGTAACCAACAGCCATTTTTGCATCCAGAAAATGAGACTCAGTGTTGCCTAAGTCTGCAAATGAATAAACAGCTTCCCTGAGTCTGCTGAGGTCTGCATCATTTTGCGTTTACAAAAGCTACAGGAAAGTAATATAGAGTTTATGCTGTTGTAACAAATACATAAAAATGTTGAAGTGGCTTTGAAATTGAAAAATGGGTAGAAGGCTAGGAGAATTTTTAGATGTATCAGAAAATCTTAGAATTCCTTGAATTGACTGTTAGTAGAAATAAGGATGTTAAAGATGCTTCTGGTGAGAACTTGGAAAGAAATGAGAAACATACTATCAAAAACTAAAGAACAGGGCAAAGGATATGAATACACATATGTCTCAAGAGAAGACACAAATGGCCAATGTGAATGTGAAAAAAATAATCAATAACACTACTTATCAGAGGAAATGCAAATTAATACTACAGTGACTTGGGTGTGGTGACCCATACTTGAAATCCCAGTGTCCTGGGGAGCAGAGACAGGAAGACTGTGAGCTTGAGGCCAGCTTCCACTACTTAATGAGACTCTCAAAAATAAAAAGTAAGAAAAGCTGGAGATGTTACTCAGGGGTAGAGTGCCCCAGCATTCGGTTCCCAGGACAAAAAAATAGAGCAAAACAACCTCATAATGAGATATCACCTCATACCTTTTAGGAAGGATATGATCAAAAAAACCAAAAACCAAAAACCAAAAAAACAAAACAAAACAACAACAAAAAAAAAAAAAAAACAATAAGTGTTGGCAAAGAGGTGGAGAAAATGGAACCCTTGTACACTATTGGTTGGAATACAACTTAGTATTCATGCTTTGAATATAACTCTTGCTGCTCTGCCACTGTGGCTTATTTTAAAACTGACATTTTTTTTTTCTTTCTCTTCTCCCTTTCATCATCCTTAATCCTGTGGAAAGCAAGACTACCCTTATTCCCATCATAGGCCAAGTTACTTGTCCTGATGATCTAAGAAATGTCTCTCTCTCAAATCTACAAGTGAACTTGACCCCAACAAGGCACACTTGGAATGTAGCCTTTGCATCACCTCTTTAAAAGCCCTCTGTTCCCTCTAATGGGCAGAATCACATCTGGGAAAGGAGCCCCCTATGTTTCTCCTTTGTGAGCAAAGCAATAAAACTTCTTTTTTTCCTTTTTCTCAAAACCATGTCCTCATTATTAGAGTGGCATCAGGGACAAGAACCAAGCTTTCCGTAACACAAAGATTTAATGTGTGGTTCTGGTGGAAGGTGTGAAGAGGAGGCAAAGGAACTGAAATCAGTATGTCAGAGATGTCTGACCCCCATGTTTATTAGCATTATTTACAATAGCCAAGATATAAAATCAGTGTAAGTACTCATGAACACATGAATGGATAAAGAAAATATGGTTCACATATGCAATGGAATATTATTCTTTCATAAAAAGAAAGAAATTTTTGTCATTTGCAGCAAGAGGGATAGAACTGCAGGACATTATGTTACATGAAATAAGCCAGGAACAGAAAGACAAATACCACATAATCTCACTCACGTGTGGAATCCAAAAATGTTGATCTCAAGGAAGTAGAGAGAGTAGAATGGTGGTATTCAACTGGATTCAATTGTAGTCATTTTAATTATAGACCTTCCCTTTGCCTTCCCTAACTTTAAATCACATAGATTATACCCAGAGTCCTCCAGTCAGGGCAAAAAACAAAGAGGCAGACTGCCTGCCCAGGTGTACTTGCTAGCCACGTTCTATAGCACACCCTTCTGTCAGAAGAAAAGTTTGCTTTGCCCACCCACTTACATAAGCATTGATTTCTTGTGCCACCTTAGTATTTCTAACACTAGGGACAAGGGTGGTTAGGGATAGGGCTTGGGGGATGTTGATCAGAAGATAAAATTTTTGTTAGACAAGAAAAATAAATTCAGGAAATACATTGCACAACATGGTGACAATAATCAGCAATATACTGTAGTCTTAAAATGCTAAGGGAATAATAATAAAGTGTTCTCACCACACAAATGGTAAATATGTGAAGTGATGCATATGTTAATTAGCTAGATTTAGTCATTCCACAATGTATATATGCTTCAAAATAATCTATTGAATATGGAAAATACAATTTTGTTAATAAGAAAAATAATTTTACAAATGAATTATTTATTTTTTACTTCAATTTATTTGTTTTAGTTGGGTTTCCCACAAGATTTTTTGAACATATACTGTTGACTTCTAACTTCTTAGCCAAGTAGGAAAGAAAGAAACTAGCACTGGAGACCGGTCTCTGTTCCCTGCCACAGAGTTACAGTTACCATCCCTCCTAATTGCCCATCTCAGTGTCTACTCTAGAAAAATAATTTTTAAAAAGGAATAAAATTGGGGGCTGGGGATGTGGCTCAAGCGGTAGTGCGCTTGCCTGGCATGCGTGCAGCCTGGGTTCGATCCTCAGCACCACATACAAAGATGTTGTGTCCGCCGAAAACTAAAAAATAAATATTAAAAAAAATTCTCTCTCTCTCTCTCAAAAGAAAATAAAAAATAAAATAAAAAGGAATAAAATTGAAAGGCAGTCTCATGACCCTTTCCTGACATCACTGCAACTTATAGCCTCCATTGTCATATATCTCCTTGTCTTGTGTAGTAATCTCTCCCTCTGCCTCCAAGGATACATGTGATTGCATTTAGGGCCCAGCCAGATAATCCAGGATAATCCATCCACCTCAAAATCCTTATTTTAATCACACTTAAAAAAGTCTTTGCTGTATAAGATAACATTTACAGATTCCAGGGATTAAAACCTGATATTTGTGGGGACCATTATTTACCCTGGAAGGGTTTGGATTGGGGATGAGAACACACTCAAGTATGAGTCCCAGTTTGATATTATTACTAGATCTATAACTTTGGGAAAATATTTATTTTTACGTTTGTAAATTGGGAAATTATAGCCTAAGATTCAGCCATTCTTTGAATTGAGAAAGGTTCAAGAGGTTGGGAATGTGCCACAAGAGGTAAGACTTCTGCATGAGTGACTAAATGCCTTAGGGACCTGCATAGATGGATCAGGTATCAGCGATCAAGCTATAGATTACAGGTCTTTGAGAAGAGCTCAGAAATCTGAGATAACAAAAACCTTGTCTTCCAAGAGAGTTCACAAGAATTCAGTTCACCCAGACTTAAGTTCCAAGAGGCAGTTTAAGGCCTTTTGTAAATCTGGAAGAGGCAGGGCAAGTGGAGGGGGCTGGATGACAATAGGCTTAGAGCTGAAAAGGAAGAATTTTCAACTAACAAGGGTTTCATAACCTAAGCTGGCAGTGAAAACCACATAGATGATAGCAGAGAGGAAGAGGAGGTAGCTAGGGAAAACAGCTCTATACCACTTCCCAGTCCAAATTCTTTGCAACAGCTGTCTGGTTGTTCTCTTATTAGTACCTCACAATAATGGCTTATAGCAGAGGATGAATCTCAAGCCCAGGATAGTTCCCTAACTCGGACTTTAAAGTTTTCTCCTTGACAACTTTCCACTGTGAATGTGTACCCTCATTTGTGCTACTCCTGCAATAACAAACCTTTCTCTAGGGGAAGGACTTCTGGTCAGAATCTGAGACACTCAGGCTCCCACAACTGGACTTCATAATTAGAAAACATAATGATCCGTCTGAGTCATGGAAGTTTGAGGGGAAAGGACAAAGGATAAATAGTCATCTGAGGTAAATATCTCAAAACTTAGTTTGCATACAAATTACGTGAGGGTTTTTAAACAAAATCCTTTTTAACAAAAGCTGATTCTGATTCAGTGGAGATGGTTTTGCTTCCTGAATATGGAGCCAGTCACTTAGAGGAATTGCCAGTCACTTGGAGAGGGGAGGGATAGTGCCTCAGGTTCCAAAGAAGGAAGCTTTCACCTTCAAGATTGGAACAGATCTCACATCCCAAAGGGGCAGGGGTGGAGAGGTGGGAAGGAGAAAAAGGAAGAGAGAGGGAGTGGGAGTGGGTGTGTATAAATGCTGCTCTGAGATTGGATGGCATATCTTCAAACTGGTGCCTGCCAGGGACTCAAAAGTGGCCAAGATTCCAGGGGACCTCAGACTCTCCTAGACCTCGTAGTAGAAACCATGAACTGGCAGTTCCAGGCCACCTGTCTTTTCCCACTGTTCCTGGTTGGCTTCTGTCAGGAGATCCTAAAGCCACAAATGGTGAAGGTGGGTGTCCCACAGGGAATCCAGGCTGATTTCAATATATGATGATTAACTTGGTTGCAAGAGATGCTAGGAATTCTCTCCTCTCCTTGAAGGATGAGATCCCTCCTCCAAGCCTTTCTTTGCAGACTTTTGCCACATCTCTCCTGCCTTATGTATTTTACATATATTTTCTCTGCACCCAATAACTCTTTGAGCAGAATATGGGTGAGCCAGGCAGTGCATGAAGTCTGCCTTTAGTGCATTCTCCTTTGCCACTTTCCCTTGGTGCCCCTTGACAGACCCTCACTTGTCCCTTTCATACTGGTCTGTAATTGGGAGGCAGCCCTATGGGTCTCAGAAAAAAAAAGGCATAAAATAGCAAATAGATTGGGAGGGAAACTGACCTAGTTGCTCTTGGAGAGGCTGTTGGACCAGAAACCCAGAGGGAAAATATGAAGAAGCTGCTATTAGAATGCTCCAGAAGATTCAGGGTCAGGAAAAAAGGAGTTTTTTCTTCAGGGGATAATAAAAAAGAATAATAAGAAGGACAGGGTAGTTTTCTGTTAACTGATTTTAGGAAAGGTTATATGTTGAGGTGGTGAAAAGGCTTAGCTCAGAGTAAGAGAATTTTTTTCTTAGATCTTGGTGCTGTTCCAAGTTGCATGATGTTATTCAGGAAAGTCCCCACAATGGTAGCCACCTCTGTGAAAGTTGTATATATGTCCACAGATGCAGGGTGGAGATCAAAGTTGATGACTTGAGATCCAGATTTTAACTTTAAAATCAGACAAACTCTTTCAAAATTGGGGATGTAGCTCACTGGTAGAGCTCTTCTCTAGCATGCAAACTCTCAGTACCAACAAAAAAGAACAACAAAACCTCAGCCTCATTTGTGGCCTTAGGCTAATTACATATCTTTTGTTGGCTTCTTTCTCTCCTCTGTAAAAGGTGAACAATGCCTATCCTATAGTGCAGTGATCCCCAGACTTGAGCTTAAAAAGACTTACCTAGAGAGCTTGTTGCACAGGTGGTTGGGCCCCAACCCTAGAGTTTCTGATTGTTTGTCTTGAGGGGGGGGGAAAACAGGATTTGTATTTCTAAAATGTTCTCAGTTGATACTTGTGCATGTCCTCACACCTGAGCTTTGGGTTTGATCTGTTTTGAGCTCCATATGAAGTCTAAGATGATGCATATAAAATGCTTAAAAATTGCAGCTATAGGAAGATCATAGCATATCTTCAAGTGAGGGCACAGTCTACTGTTAAGGGCATCCAGCTACTGGTGCAGGTGAAATTCCTGAGGTAGAAAACTGTCTTGTAAATGAAAGGCTGTGTTCTAGGGTTTCCTGACTCTTCAAACTGGTGCAAAACTGAAAACTGGACAAGAAAGATGGAGCCTTTCAAATTGGCAATTTTCTTGGGATTCTACATGCCAGTTCATAGGATGATAAACAAATTTTGAAAGTTGTTGAGTCCAGAGCAAAGGAAACAAGATGGCAAGGAGGATAGAGGCACACAAAAGACAGTATACAGAATGATTTCCAAGTGACTTTTTCTTACTTTAGCAAGAAAGGCACGAAGGCAAATAAAATGCAGGCATATAGATGACAACCCCATCACAGTGAGTTTCTTGACTAAAGTTTCCAAATATTTGTGTTAACATATATACATAGTAATATACAGATTTAAAGAAACATACAGAGGGGGGCCTGCCTCCTTTTCTCTAAGGATGGTGGAGGAGAAGTTGTTGCCTGATGTCCTTGTGACAGAACCTACAAAAGATGGTAACAAGCTTCTTGCCACACTCTGCACAGTAGCTCACCCATAGGCAGTTCCTTCCTTGAATGGGGCAGGCCTTTATGGACTGAGATCACTTGAAGCCTATTTTAAAGTGCTCTAAAATTCTATGATTTGGACTGGGATTGTGGCTCAGAGGTAGAGTGCTCGCCTACCATCTGTAAGGAACTGGGTTTGATCCTCAGCACCACATAAAAATAAAATAAAGATATTGTGTCCACCTCTAAAAAATTTTTAAAAAAATAAAATAAAATTCTATGACTTTTTTCCACATTGCCAGGAATATGATCTTTCTTATCAAATAACAACATCTTTTATTTCAAGTCCTGTCTGCCCTTTTGTCTTGGCATGCTTGTAGGCAGAAAACGTTAGCTATTTGTGCTTATAATTATAATTCCTAATCCTTGAGCAGTCCAGGATATTTCTCCACAATATAAGGATAAGAAGGGGACATTGCAAATGAGTTTCGTAGGTATCAGTGACAGGATGATATCCATGTGACTTTTTCTTAGTAAGAAAGGCTACTTGTAAGTTAAAAGACACAAATTCCCATTGTGGCATCTGCTCGAACTAAAATTTTACGTGAAAAGATTATCTTCACATGTCAAAATTTCAAGATATTACGTGAAGCATTTTAAATTCTTTTAAAAAGTCCACAGAGCCAGGTGTGGTGGCATACACCTGTAATCCCAGTGACTGGGGAGGCTGAGACAGGAGGATTTGAAGTTTAAGAATAGCCTCAGTAACTTAGCCAGGTCCTGTCTCAAAATAAAAAAGAAAAGAGGGATGTGGCTCAGTGGTTAAGCACCCCTTGGGTTCAATCCCTAGTACCCCCCTCCACCCTGCTCCAGGAAACAAAACAAACAATATTCTCCCCCCCACACCATGACAAATCCACAGATGTTGGGAGTTATCCTTTACAGGATTATGTTACAGTTACTTTTGTTACATTCCAGATGGATTGCAACAAAGGGGTGACTGGCACCATCTATGAGTATGGAGCCCTCACTCTCAGTGGTGATGAGTACATCCAGTTCAAAAACTATGCTGGCAAGCATGTCCTCTTTGTCAACGTGGCCACTTATTGTGGCTTGACAGCTCAATATCCTGGTAAGAACTAAAGTTCAACTCTTTGTGAACTAGTTTTGTCAGATAGCCATATTCTAATTCTTGAAGGTTTTACTAATGTGTCATTGTGGGTGGGAGATGGAATAAGTGAAGATGTAAGTGTCTATTCCCCTAAATCCTTTTATTGCTCTGCTTCTTAGAATGCCAGACGAAATATCTCCAGATTTGAGAATTTTTTCCCAAAGACTTGATCAAAGATTACTAGGAACATCTGTACCCTGAACACATTGCTCTATATCCTGAGGGGAACATATATTATAGGCAACCATTGGGTTTCTCAGAAAGTATTAGATATATTGTTTAATAAAAAGATACTCTCAAAAGTACAGATTAGGGGTTTGTGAATATAGCCTTGGATCAGAGAGAGAGCAAGCGTGCAGTACCTAATGTACCTAATTATAAGAATCCAAATGAGAGTTTAGTATCATTTAGTAAGTCTAAATTTTCTTTCTTTCAAATGGTTAAATTTGAAACATATGGTAAATATAAAAATTCATAATGCGTGAATGGTGGATGCATGGGACATGAATCTGCTTTTAAAATTGCTTTCATTTAGTTCTGTTTGTTTTTCTTTTCTTTCTTTCTTGTTTTTTTTTTCTTTCTCTTCTTCTTTGTAGTGCTGGGGATTGAAACCAGAGCCTTATGTGTACAAGGTCTGTACTCTTCCACTGAGCTATATCCCCAGTCCCTAATTTAAATTTATGTGTTAAATGAATAGGTAATTCATTTACAACGTTCAAAATTCAAAAGATACAAAAGGGTTCAACAGGGACACTGTTCATTTTCTCTTTCTTTTAGGCAACTGTTGTCAAAAGTTTATGATGTATATTTCCAGAAATCTTTTATGCAACTATAAGCAAATATTTCCTTCTTCTTCTTCCTCCTCCTCTTCTGTCTGTGTCTCTCTGATTCTGTATCTTGCTTTTCACATAATAAAATATCTTGGATGTTATTCTGTGTCAGTACATGGTGAGTTTTCTCATTCATTTTTAAGTTGCAGTTATCCATTGTGTTGCTGTGATATAATTTATTGACCTTGTTTATGAGAATTTTAGAGAGCATCTCATTCAAATTTTACTCCATATGAGGAAATGAACTCATATGAGAGTCAAAGGAACTTGCCAAAGCCCTACAATCAAGGTCTGCTAAGTTTTCAGCTATAAGAAGGAAATACTCATGGCCTAGGGTTGTGGCTCAGTGGTAGAGTGCTCACTGTGCATGTGGGAGACCCTAGGTTCGATCCTCAGCACCACATTAAAAATAAATGAATAAAATAAAGGCATTGTGCCCAACTACAACCAAAAAGCATTTTTTTTTTCTTAAAGAAGGAAGTACTCTTGATAGCCAAAGAGAAGAGGAAATTGAGGCGTAGACAGAATTGAAGAAACATAGGAAGGGAAGAGGTTCGAGGTTCTTGGGGGAAGTGCCAGCAGAGCTGAGTCTAAATGAGTCTGGGTGGGGCTGGTTCTGGGGACTGAATAAATCTGAACTAAAAATAGCTGAAGATGGAAATCCTGGCATAAATCTAGACAGGTAAGTCGGAGGCTTCCTGACAGTGGCAAAGAGAAATTTGGAGTTTGTGACCTGGGATCCCGTTGAGTGATCCAGGGAAATGAATGCTTTGGAGCCAGGCTTGGAATTTCTCTGATTCCCTCTACCACTCCCAGCAGAGTGCTCTTGGGAACTTGATTGAAGTGTCAGGTTGTGTCATCGTGGGACACATAGGGGAGGGGAGAGGAGGGTAACATGTCCATTCTGTTTGCCTTTTTCTTGAATAAACATTTGCTCAATCAACCCATCAACTAACAAAGGCAGCAGAATTCAAGTCCGGCTTCTCTTCTCATCCTTCAAATAGGATGCTTTGCAAGACTAACCAGTCTGTGTTTGTTTGCTTTAAATAAGAGCTTCTATTGGAAGGTGAAGTATAGCCAATTATGGGAAACACTAAACTGGCAACAACTCTGATGAGATTCTGGAAACTTGTGTGATAGTTTTTTGATCTGCCTGATCCATCTCTATAACCAGAAACTCTCCTTTCACAGTCTTCTGGTTATTCATGTGATAAATGGATAAATCTAGTGGTCTTTCACTGGTTGAGGTAGGGCTTCTGACTAGTTGACCCATACTGTTCTCTACCTACAGAACTGAATGCACTTCAGGAGGAGCTGAAGCATTTAAATGTCATTGTGTTGGGCTTTCCTTGTAATCAATTTGGAAAACAAGAACCAGGAAAAAACTCAGAGATTCTCTCTGGGCTCAAGTGAGTGCCTGCATAGGGTCCTGCAGAGACTGTCATGATTCCCCTTCCTCATGCTGCCTAGAGGCCCTCCCATTCTAGGAACTTCTGTGGTGGTTGATAGATCAAATGGGTTGAAGAATATCACCACAATGCTATGAAGCTTTGAATTCAATCTGTCCATGTTGGCAGTGTTCAAATATTTGCTCTCCCCATTTTCTTTTTGTTTATTTTTTTTTTGAACCCAGGGTCAATGCTAAACAAACTCTCTACCACTGAACTACACCCCTGGCCTGTTCTCTCTACCTTTGAGTTCTTTTGATGATCAAACCACCGGAGGATTTACTAGAAAAGAAGTCCAGGAGAAAAGGAGGGAATATAGGAAATGAAAATGAATCAGGAAACTTGCCTTCCTAATTTCTTGGAATTCTTTATTGGCTCCTTAGAGTCTATGGTTGAAATCCTGATTCTTGGGGACCCTCTCTTTACCTTCCTTGTCTACAACATCTTCGTTTTAATCTCTGATTTCTTTTTGTGGTAAAGTTTTGGTAGCATTACTATCCTTTCTTAATTTGGATCCCCATTGGTTCCTGCAGGTATGTGCGTCCAGGTGGTGGCTTTGTCCCCAATTTTCAGCTCTTTGAGAAAGGGGATGTAAATGGAGAAAAAGAACAGGAGGTCTTTACATTCCTCAAGGTGAGTAAACATAAACCTGGCATGGATTGGTTTCTATCGGTAGAGATAAACTGAAAGCAAAGGGGCTTGTGTTAAAAAGAGATTTTCTGTTAAAAAATCATGGCAATACCTCCTATGAAGACTTGGCTTCAAGTAGAGGAAACATGTAATATCTGATAGCTCTGACATGAACTAACCTCCCTTACTGAATGATAATAATTCATTAATTCATAATCATTTATTAAATCCCTAATATGTGCAAAGGACTGTGCTGTACAATGAGTTAACAAATACTAATAGGACGTATTCTCTTTCCTGAATGAACTCATATATTTATTCAGGAGACAAACACAGATATGGATCGGGTAGAGTGTCATATGGTAAGTGAATTTTGAATTACAGAACATTAAAACAAGAGAATACCAGGGTAGAAGGACTCCCCAGGATATCTTAGTACCCTTGTCCCCAAATTCTTATCTGCAGAACAAGTCTGGTTCTTGGTATTTTCACCCATCCACAGTGAACGGGGGGTGGGATGGACAATATAGAGAGTTTTCAATAAACCCCAACCTATTGCATATAAAAGACTATAATTTATCCATAACAAATCACCATTAGGTTACACCATATAAATTGACTTTTTATTGCTCAAAAAATAGTGATATCATCATTTTGGATCAGCTAAGCCTAATAATGAAAAATCCTTTATGGCTATAGTATATTCTTATGTCAAAATGAATGTTGATAATTCTATATTAGAATTAGCTATTGAATTTTTTTTGGGGGGGCCTATGAAATCCTAATTCTGGGACTTATTCCTTTAAACCAACCTATTATTTTTTACCTAAGGAAAATAAAACTATAGAATATGACTTGCCCTCAGCTGGGGTTGTGGCTCAGTGGTAGAGCACTTGCCTACATGTGCAAGGCCCTGAGTTCAATGCTCAGCATCACATAAAAAATAAATAAAAAAGATTTAAAAAAAGAATATGACTTGCTTAAGAAAATGGAAGATACTCTTTTACTGATACACCATGATAAAATCATGGGAATAGAAGAGAGACAAAGAAAGGGAGAGTGCTCTCTGTTTATTGTTATGCTTTTTACCTTCTGGTTGTTTGGTATTTGGTGTATTGGTGATGATACATTGAAATGTCTATGGTTGACTAGAAGTATTTTAAATAGTTAATATATTAACTATTTGTATAATAGAGGAAATAATAATGGCAAGAAAACCCCCTAGGTGTAGGAAGAAGACCAGACCACATAGAAGCAGAAATAAACTTATTTTTCCATTTTTCATATCTGTACTCCAGAATTCCTGCCCTCCAACCTCTGAACTTTTGGGTTCTTCAAAACAACTCTTCTGGGAGCCCATGAAGGTCCATGATATCCGCTGGAATTTTGAGAAGTTCCTGGTGGGGCCTGATGGAGTCCCTGTCATGCGCTGGTTCCACCAGATTCCAGTCAGTACAGTCAAATCGGACATCCTGGAATACCTAAAGCCGTTTGATACCCAGTAGGAAGGGCTACACTGGCAGAAGTAGCCACCCTGCCTCTCTCCTGAAGAATATGTCTAAAGTGCCCATCTTTGCTCCACACTCCTTCCTATTCATCCTCCATATGATCAAATCATTCTGTACTACCTAAACAGCTGTTCATGAACGTTTGAACAGGGGTGTGTGTGTGTGTGTGTTTGAAGATTAAGGAAAGAAAACCAAATCTTTGATTGTGAAAATATAAATTTTCTCCAAACTATTACAAAGGAAAGTCATTTTAGGGTAAATGATTCAGACTACCCTTGGTCTGTTAAAAAGTTCCCCAGAAGTTCTGACCGCCATCCTTTCCCTGTCCTGACAGACTGAAGAAAGAAAGAACTGATGGCAAGACTCTCTAGGTCACCTTCCTAGCCTCACTGTCCTCCAAGGAGGGCATGCTTTGTTAAACTTCCTCTCCCTGCTTTGTTCTCCTTTATTCCTCTGCCACCCTATAGTTATAGTGTAGGATTCTGGAGACAGAGTGAGAGCAGAAACCTCATCTCACATAAAAGGAGGGGCATTTCTATGATGGTGGGTCCTAAAGCCCCTCTGAACCTTCCTGGGTGCCTGTCCCTTAGTGCATTCAGGTCACGGCACCTGGGCAGGAATGTCCTTTCATTCTGAACATGGGTTTTCTCCTCACTGTAAGTCTCCCAACTTTAAGCATATCATTGACACAAATAAAAAAAATTAAAAAATTCTGCAGCAACTGGGCTTCAAGTGATGTTTTCCCAGTCCCACATTTTGTCTGCATTCATACCTCTTCTTTGTTCCTGATTTCTTAACCTCCTTACTTTGCTTTTCAGAATTTTATTTCTCTCAAAAGCACTTTAGAGCTTACCTTGGCGCATTCAAAATTACTGGGTGAAACTGTAGACATACAGCTGCTGTGACCCTTTTTTTTGTGTGTGTGGTGCTGCAATCAAATCCAGGGCCTCATGCATGTTAGGCAGGCACTCTACCACTAAGCTACATCCCCAGTGGGAGCACTGACCTCTTAATGTCAGGCCCCTCTATGCCTCCTATTCAGGTCTCCTGGCTAAGCACCTGTATGAGAGAAGTTCTTTGCTTCTGAAAGAATCCTCCCTCCCTCCCTCCCCCCACCTCTAATAAATACACATAAATTTGTTTATAAAATTTTCATGCTGACTATTAAAATCTGAAAACACATAAAAGCAGAACAAATATAAAAAGTGTATTAAAAAAAAAAAGAAAAGAAAAAAACTCCTAATTGGAGATTCAAAACACCTCTGAAAAGCCCTACTTTCCCTTTGTTGTTTTATCCTGGGTTTCAGTTTGTGACTAAAAGGCTCAGGGGTCACTCCAGGTAAACTGGGCTGACTGGGCTGCACAAAATAACCACACAAGAGACACAAATACCTTTTTCTTTGGGGTCGCTGTGATGGCTCCTCTGACCTTAAGGGTCCGCAGGAAGACAGAGAGAGAGAGAGAGAGAGCCCCCCCCACACACACAGACACACACGCAAGCTGACCCCTTTTATTGAGGAGAAGCTATTCAAATGAGGCAAGGGGTCAGGTTTCAGGGGGCTGAGTCTATTTTCATGATGTCCACTGTCAGCAGGTTGACTGACATCTAGGTAGGCCACACCCAAGGACACAGTAAGAGAAGAGGACACACACAAGGCACTTCCATGGAAGATTCTATCCTAAACAGGGCAAGGGGTTATATTACAAAGGAACAGGTGAGCGTAGCTTCACCCATGGGGCTGTAGGAAGACGCAGTCACTGAACCCTAGAAGAGTGGGACAGTATAGCAGCATGGGTGCCTAAGGCCACATCGCCCAGCAGGGGAGTTAATTCAGTCAATATGAGGTTGGTCTCCCATAGTTTTATAATTGAAACTAAATATTTTATAATAGACTGAGATTTCAGGAAATAAGACACAAAGGAAAGGAAAGATTAGGTGAGAAGGAAAATAAAATAGTTGCTTTTCTCTTATTTTCAACAGATTATTTTGGCACAGGTGGCTGCACTTTAAAATATTTTACCCTTAAGTCTGGCATGGCAAAGAGTTTAAGGCCAGCCTCAGCAATTTAGCAAGATCCACAGCAACCCAGCAAGATCCTGTCTCAAAATAAAAAATAAAAAAGGACTGGAGAAGTAGTTCAGTGTTAAGAGTACACCTGGGTTTAATCCACAGCACCACACAAAAGTGCAGGAAATATAACATTCTGTATGTGTATTTGTGAGAGAGAGGGTGGGGTGGGAAGAATTGTTTCAGAAGCAGTATGTATCAGTGAGTAACATCAAACATTATGGGGATCATAATTCTGCTGCATACTTAAGTGGAAATATGATCTCTGACTTAATTTTTTATATAGGAACATGGAAATTGACAAACTAAACAGAAATGATCACGAAAATGATTTTTTTTTCATTTTTAAAATTTATTTTATTTTTATTTCCACATTTTTTATTAGTGTATTTTTTATTGCTGTACCTAACAATAAGAGTTGTTGTTACATATTTATACATGCAAAAATTTTAACAATATAATGGGCCCTAGCACTTCTTCCATCCCTCCCCTCCTCCTATCCCTTGGTCCCTTTCCTCTACTGATCTCCCTTTGATTAAGAAAATGATTTTTAAGAACCTAAAATTTCTAAGTGGCAGACACATAAGAGAAAAATAAAAAATTTGGATGCTTTGCTTTCTTGAATTCAAAATCTAATAGGGAAATGAATTTTTTAAAAAAATCTGGCCATTCTTGACCATAAACTATAGGATTTGAGACTTCCATTAATCATTTATCTGGTGCCATGGCAGTTTTAAGGACATAACAGAATTAGCCACAAGTGGTATCGAGAAATGTGTTTTAATTTTGAATTCTTCTCAATCTCTGAAGTTCTTAAAGCCATCCCTAGACCTCAACAGTTCTCCGGAGAGTTTCAGATCTGTTAACTATTTTCAGATCAGGATAAGTAAGGTCCAGCAAGTGGGTGGAGGATGAGGTGACACAGTGTATACAACTCTTTTCAGATACTGGTTTATCCAGTCTTATAGAAGCTAGATTACTTATGTACATATATGAATATACCACATGAATCTTCACATTATGTTCAACCACAAGACTGGAAACCTAATTAGAATAGGTTTTGCTCCATGTTTGTATAAATATGTCAAAGTATACTCTACTGTTATGTATAACTAAAAAGAACAAATTTAAAAAATAAAACAGAGAGAAGTTAGATTATTATTACTATCATTACCATCTCAGGCATTGTTGCTGTAGAGAAGTAAATGCTCAAGGGGAGCAACATTCCTAAAGTAGTGAAGAAAGAGCCTTTAATTTAAGCATATTGTGCTGGAATATCTGTGAGAGTTTGCAATCTTGCTGCGGCTCTGAAAAATTCAACCTCCATACTCCTGATGCCCTCCAGTGGCTGTCCCCGAAGAGAAAAGTAAATGTTATGAGAAGAGCCAAAGTCAGGAAAAGTAGAAACAAAAAAATGTCTGCCAAGGGATGACAGGTGTTGGGTAAGCAGATTAGAATGTTGCAAACAATGACAACAATGTTGATAATAATAATAATAATAATAATAATAATAATAATAATAATAATAATAATGTAAAAGTTTTTATAAAAAGAGGATAAAGAAAAAAATTCTACTTCTCTTCTCCTCAACCAATCCCCATTATAGCTCTCAGTGACCAAGGAAAGCTATACACAGAAACTTCTGGGAAGAGGGGGACTTCCCAAGAGTGGCTCAAGAGGTCTCGTCTCTTATTGAAGCTAAATGATTGCTATTCCTATCATGGTGACTATGATTTTCATCACAGGAGTTGCTCTTGCTATGGAACTTTTCCTTCCAACCAGAAGTTCCCACATCTCAGGCACATCAGGTAAACTGGAGCTAGTTAGTTCCATAAAGCCACAACACCACTGAGAACCTATGACACATCTGGAATTTCTATGCATTATTGATCACAAAACCTTTGGGGAGGGTTCTCAGGCAGGTCCAGAAGGTTCTAAATTCTCAGAAACCAGGACTCAGACCCTCTAATCATCCTATCCCAAGATTTGCTCAGGAGCCCATTTCTGGATATAAGATTCCAGTATAGTCTTCTCCATATGAGTTAATTTGTGAATGCAACATCTTCCCTGTAGATTGTGTGGACACTGCGGTTTTTAGCTTTTGGATGTGCCTGAGTCAGTGCTAGAAGCCAGATTTCCAAAAGATGAAAAATAATAGGCCATGGTTCATTCCAGAGCACATCAAATCTTGCTCCTATGGTCTCACAAATTCTTGACTTGGTTTTTGTTCCCTACAAACAGAATCTGGGACTCAGACACACATAAATAATTAAGAGAGCCATCTCAAAAGAAAGGGAATCCATGAAGCAGGATAGGGCAGGGGAAAGAGAAGTATAGATGCAATTTCCTTTGTGTCTTATTTCCTGAAATCCAGTTTGGAGTTTAGCATCAGAATGAATTACATTATAGTTGTCCCCTCTGGAGGGAAGAGGGATGGCCTTTGTAATGCCATCAGTCATTGGCTTGTGGGTTCACCCTTGGGCTACATAGGCACTCCCTTTGACTGAAGAAAATCCTCTGAAGAATTTTAGCTGTAAGCCATTAATATCCAACTTTCAGTGCTAGTGGAGGTGGCACCACTAGCCCAGTAAAGCAAATTTGGTAAGACCATAGACATCTATCACCTCCTCACAAACAACTCACTATTCAGAAGGATCCCCAGTGAAGACCCTGAGAAAATAACATTGACAATCCTTCACTCAATCACCATTTTCCCTTTCATGACTTCTATCTCTAGGAAAATGCTTCACAAAGTATGGTCCCTGGCCAGTAGCGGTAGCATTACTGGAGATTTTTTTTTTTTTTAGAAATATACTTTTCATATCCTTCTTAGACTCACTGAATCACAAATTCTGGGAGTAGGCCCAGCAATTATGGTTTTCAAAAGCCTTTGGGGTGATCTTAATTCTTGCTAAAGTTTGAGGACTAT